CAGCCGACCCTCTCTGTAACTGGCTGCTGACATGCCTTTGCAGAAGAATGGCTACTTATAAATCCACGAGTGACCAGGCAAGTTAAAATGTTCCCCTACAGATTTACTTGTGTTCCTGTTCTTGACGTCTGATTTGTGTCCATTTCTCCTTTGTCGCAGAGACTGAGCAGTTTGGTCAATACGGCAGAGGGGCATTGCTGGCACTCAATAGCCTAGATCATTAGAAGATGGGTAGTTGTTTGAGCCTCTGATAGAACACTAGAACTGGAAGGGACTTCAAAAGGTCATCGAGTCCAACTCTTTGCCCTCAAGCTCCATCTAGACGATCCCTGACAGGTGTCTGTCTAACCTGCTCTGAAATATCTCCCGAGATGGAGATTCCACAACCTCCCTAGGCAATTTATTCCAGTGTTTCACCACCCTGACAGGTAGGAACTAATGTCCAACCTCAACCTCCCTGGCTTAAATTTAAGTGCATTGCTACTTCTCCTATCCACTATTCACAGTCCACAGTAAGGGAGTGACACCAGTTCACACTAGTGCGGTAACACACCCAAGAGTGCTGGAGTCCTGTCAGTCTCAGGATGTGAAGGAGAGGTTGGCTGGTGGTGTTAACGCTTGTCTCTCTCACCTATGTAACAGGTGTTACTTCTCCCGCCTTGATTCGCCAAGAGTCTGCGCTGAGGGGCTCCAATCCCTTCTTCGGCACATTTGACATTGGGACGTGAGAGTTTATTGAGTCGGGAATCAGTGTTGCATTCGAATCCTGACCCTGCCCGGGTCCTTTCCTCCGCAGCCCTCACAGAACATGCTGAGGAAGAAAATGTCCAACCAAACCAACGTGACTGAGTTCTTTCTCCGGGGCTTCTCTGATGTCCGGGAGCTGCAGATTTTGCACTTTGTGTTATTTCTAGTGATATATCTGGTGGGTTTGGTGGGGAACCTTCTCATCATCACAGTCGTAGCCCTTGACCATCGTCTGCACACCCCCATGTACTTCTTCCTGGGGAACCTGTCCATCCTGGACCTCAGCTCCATCTCTGTCATCATCCCCAAATCCATGGCCAACTCCCTCCTGGATACCAGGTCGATTTCCTACCCTGCCTGTGTCACACAAATGTTTTTATTCATGTTCTTTGATACAGCTGGTCTTGGCATCCTGACCACCATGGCCTATGACCGGTACGTGGCCATCTGCCACCCACTGCACTATGAGCAGGTGATGAACCGGAGAGTCTGTGTCCACATGGCTGCCAGTGCCTGGGTCAGTAGTTTGCTCTACTCTGCCCTGCACACTGGGAACACCTTTGCTGTCTCCTTCTGTGGTGGCCACATGGTGGATCAGTTCTTCTGTGATGTCCCCCAGCTGCTCAAACTGGCCTGCCCGGACTCCGACCAGGGTGAAAACGGGGTTATTGTCTTTAGTGCCTGCTTAGTCTTAAGCTGCTTTGTTTTCATCATTGTGTCGTACGTTCAGATCTTCAGAGCGGTGCTGAGAATCCCCTCGGAGCAGGGCCGGCACAAAGCCTTCTCCACCTGCCTCCCCCACCTCACTGTGGTCTCCTTGTTTATTTTAACTGGTGCCTTTGCCTACCTGAAACCCACCTCCAGCTCCACATCCCTCCTGGACCTCGTGCTGGACGTTTTCTATTCTGTGGTGCCTCCCGTGCTGAACCCCGTCATCTACAGCATGAGGAACAAGGAGATCAAAGCTGCCCTGTGGAAATTGACTGGGTGGAGATTATCCATGGCACAGAAAATGTCCCTCTTACGCCTCTGATTTTAATTTCATCCTGTGTTTCTTTTTGAATACATGAAATGATGAGAGTAATGTCTGCATGAGAGCAGGGTTTGCCATCTTGTTATGCACAAAGGTGTATTTTCAGTGGCAAAATGGAAACACCAGTCAAGTCAAAGGAGCAACTGTAAATTTATACCACTGTAAATAATATCAAAATCTATCTATCTATCTATCTATCTATCTATCTATCTATCTATCTATCTATCTATCTATCTATCTATCTATCTATCTATCTATCTATCTATCTATCTATCTATCTATCTATCTATCTATCTATCTATCTATCTATCTATCTATCTATCTATCTATCTATCTATCTATCTATCTATCTATCTATCTATCCGCACACACCCTATGTGTCTGTCTATCTATCTATCTACTTCAGGATACTATAATGCATCCCAATCCCATGCTATCTGAGAACGTTGGATAGAAAATCAGTATCCATAACAAAGTCTTAGTGGACCTCCTGGATCTTGAAGTAAAGAAATGCAGCACCTGTGCCGTAGCCATTCGTTTTTTGCTTCTGCTTCATATTTCAGTGGGTATTTTTTTTAAATGAGTAGGCTGGTGGGTGGGTTTGTTGCCTCCATCCGTGTGTTTCCAAGGTGGGGTGTCTGGGGAGACGGTCAGTGTTCACTCTGGCAGAATGGTAGGTATTTTGTCCTCTTCAGACGTGCACAGGTTACTCTCAGGTAACACAAACAAACCTGGCCCTAAGATACAACCGGGTTTGCTCCAATTGCACTGACAGGATCTATATCAAGAATTCTTTAATCTAAACTCCATATCTGAAAAAGTGGGTTGTGCCCACAAAAGCTGCCATCTGCAGGAGGGTCCCGACTTGTGACATGATTGGTTTTTGAGGAAGCGTCGCAAATCGGGGGTGTTGTAACTTGAACCCGCATTGATGGTAGGTGCCGTGCACCATTGTAAATACGGGCTGAGGACATAAATCAGGAGTTTCTGGCTAGTTCCGCACTTACAAAAATATGTGTTAAGTGCAGGGGGTCGGAACTCGAGCCATCGCTTCTTGAGGGCCACTTGAACAGTTTTTGTTAGTGCTGCAGGACTATTCACTGTTTTGTGAGTTTTTTCAACCTGATCCCAGGCCCGTCCCACTGTCCTCGCACAACCAAATCAAATTTGGGAGGCAGCTTCCTCTTCTCCTAGCTGAAAGCAAGGTCGGGGTGGGGTTGTGCCAGGCCAATGAGAAGTGCCTGCAATGGGATTGGTTTCCATCACATTGGAAAAGCAGGGGGCTGACCAGAGGGACAGCGATACTGCAGAGAGGGCACAGGGACTGGCCACACCAGCAAGAGACTGTCCAACTGGGGATCAAGCTTTCCACGTTGCCAGACACTAGACCAAACAAGTGGACCAAGCAGTACTGGAGTGTGGGGGGAGCACCCCACCCATTGGTCCTGCTGGAAACCCTGCATACTGCCCTTGCCACCATAGCCTCTCTCCCCAGGAGACCCTCAGGCCAGGAACCAGACCTCAGCCCCATCTCCCTTGAGGCCCTCCCCCAAGGAGAGGCTGGGAACTGTGGTTCACCTTCCCTGACCTTGCTTTGAGTTAGGGCAAGAGGAAGCTGCATCCCAAATGTGGTTTGGTTGTGCCTGGACGATGGGGTGTGCCTGGAAAGGGAGGGGGTTGATAGCTGGGATAGTTATACTGCCGAATGATCACAGCGGGACAGGGGATGAGAGGCTCAGGGCAGTGGGCTGAGAGGTGGGGGGGATCAGGACAGGAGTGTGGGGGGGTTAAGGGCAGGGGGCTTGGAGGTGTGCCGGGGCTGAGGGCAGGGGCTGGCAGGCTGGGATATTGGGGGTCTTACTAGGATCACATGTGGCAACGAGGCTGGCACTGCTCTGGCAGCTGTTCCTCGCGGAGGGGCAGGGCTGTACGGACCAGCCTTTTCCTCTGGCTTCTCCCGGGGTGGGGTTTGGAGCTGCACTGCACTGCACTGCTCGTGGCGCACCCTGTGGGGTCACAGTGGAGGGGTCAACACTGCCCGGGGGAGACAGCACCAAGGCCGTGTCACTGTGACCCCTGGAAGGAGCTTCCTCCAGAGCAGCACAACCCTCAATGCCATGGTCAGCCGTGATAAGTCCCCCCAAACCTCTCATCCCCACTGGGTGGGGTTTGGAGCTGCACTGCACTGCACTGCTCGTGGCGCACCCTGTGGGGTCACAGTGGAGGGGTCAACACTGCCCGGGGGAGACAGCACCAAGGCCGTGTCACTGTGACCCCTGGAAGGAGCTTCCTCCAGAGCAGCACAACCCTCAATGCCATGGTCAGCCGTGATAAGTCCCCCCAAACCTCTCATCCCCACTTGATACCCCTGCCTTGAGCCCTGCACCCCATCCTCTGCCCTGAGCCCTGCACCCCA